ATTCATTTCATATATATATATATATATATATATATATATATATATATATATATATATATATATATATATATGACATCACTAGGTGAACAGTATGAATAAAACAAAACAGCTCCAGGTTATTTTTTTTTGTTTGTGTGTGTGTGTTTTTTTTTTGTGAGGAAACAACATTATAACATAGGTTAGAAAATAGCTGAATATGGGCCCTTTAAAACACACAATACACAGTGTATTGAAGTGCATATTTGACATGTGCTCATACAATATAATGGATCTTTATGAGGACCACTTTTCTCTGGTGGTCATAATATTACGCCTGATTAAAACAACATCCAATTGAACCCATTGAAATTTGGATCAGCTTCTGCTCTCCTCGCTCACCTCTTGTTCTCGGGTCATTAATAAATCATCATTTTGGGAGACAGCCCTTAGACAGGCCTTTTAATTCCACGTCAGTCGTACTAATGATGCTATTCACTCGTATTCAGCACTATGGCCCCTGCAGAACTCCCCATCTCACCATGTATTTTTAACACCATCTATCAGAGGAAGGAGATGAACCAAAAGACTCTAGAAGACCTCACGCGCAGTACTTGAGAAGTGATCAAAACGTGCTTTTGCGATTTTCAGCACAAGCTTGAATTTACTAGAAAAATCGCCAGTGTATCCGGAAAGCTTCCTAGCCAAGAGTGGGAGTGAAGTCCAATTAAAAGCATCTTAAATTCTTGGCTGGATAAAATCGTTGTTGCCATTGTTGTAGGCAGAACACAGCGTCGCTCCAAATGCAGTAATGAGTTTGATAAAAGTGTCTTTCATTAAGTTTTTTTTTTTTTATTTAACACTTTCTATATTGTATTGTTGAAAAAAAACAGGTCTGCTTGGTTTTGAAGAGATAAGCAAAGTGGACCCGCTAATGCAGTCAAATACAGAGGAAAAGAGAAAGCTACAGATTTAATTAAAGTGTACTGTGATAAGACAGAGTTTTTGTTGGTACATTGTGTCAATAGTATGGTGAAGACCTATTTACCAAGTTGAACATTATAACGCTTTGAATTATTTCTTAAGCAGATATAAAAGTAGGAAGGATTAAAAAAGGAAATACTTACAGAAGATGATATTAAAGTACAGCTTCATCTTAATGTTATGCTAATAGGAATACAACAATTTTTATGTGTTAGAAATTTGACTATACTCTATGGGTCCTAGTGTAGGGGTATTATTAAAATCAGAATTGGGAAGTACTCAGTTACATTTACTTGAGTATCTTTTTTGTAGATATGTACTTCTTTCAGTTCAGACAGTTCTTTACAATGTAGTACTTGTGTAAATGTTTTAGCTACTCTTCCCATTGTAAGTTAGACAGGCTAGTGCCACCTAGTGCCTCCGCTCAATTTCATTTCTCTCTAGTGACTAGGTCAGGAATCGGAATACACTAGGCAAGAACCCCGGAAGTTGTAGACTGCACACTGACCAATCATCGAAGAGCTGTGAAGCCATGACGTCAAACTCAAGCGCCTGTCTGGGTTCCTTTTGTGGTACAGCACAACAGTAAACAAAGCCGTCAAGATGGATGTAGACAAAGACAGACATACTTTGTTGGCAATGATTCCCAAGATCGAGGATTTAAAGCTGGAACAAAGAGAATGTTTGGTGAATTTTATCAAGGGGAAAGATGTTATTGCCCTTCTTCCTACGAGATTTGGGAAAGGCTTAATATAACAGTTATTCCCATTAGCGGCGCATTACATACGTCACGACCAAATAGCAGTGATTGGTTAAATAAAAAAGTACCTGCCTACCGTCGAGCGAACAAATCCTAATGCTGCAAGGTCAGATGTTTCCACGAAGTGAAACCGGCTGATGAATCAGGCTAATTGTAAGTGGTCTACAGATGACAAAATCTTTATGTTGAGAGTATTAAATGATTTTAACATTTGTGTTTCTTGCACCACTCTTTTAGATATGATTTTTTCTCTTTTTTGTGGTCTAAAATAAAAGTGCATTGCTTAGGAATATGGAATATGATTCTCTTCAGTTGTATTTTATTGCTTTATTTAAAGTTATATGTGCACAGAGACAAGCAGGTAGTGTCAGGGGCAGATCAATGGAGAGGCAAGCATGCTCACAGTAAGATTGCATATATTTGATGGTATTTTGTGTAGTACATCTTTGATATTACATTATAATTGAGATGCCACATAATTTTTTGGACCACAAATACTACATGAATAATATTATCCTGAAGTAAAGATACACTCTTACTTCAGTACAATATTTGGCTACTTTACTCACCAGTTAATATGAGAAACAGCATGTGTAGTCACTGAGATACTGGCTGAGACTGGCCCAACTATTACTCTTGGACAAGAAAAGTCACATTGCTCTGTCATAACAAAGAATGGGAAAGTGTCCACAGAATAGCTCATATGTGGATGTAATAAAAGTTTAATTTCTTCTAGCTGACAGAGTTCTGATTTTGAGCCTGCTGCTGCTTATGATTTTCAGCCCTTTTCATTCTCAAGTCATTCAGCAAATTACAAATGTATTGTTATTTTTCTCAAATCTAGTTCCAAACAATTGAGTATTTACAAGAGCTAACTTTGTTTATTCTCTTGCCAACTCCTCTTGAGCAGAACTGCCTCATGCCAAAACAAAACATGCATTGTTGGATAGGCAGTTTATGAAAAACACTTTGACAGATCTTAGAATGATCCAGGCTAGCATTACTTCCCAGAATGCAGTGGTCCTATTGTGTTTGCATGGATCTAGGGTTGTACCAAAAACAAATATTACACATTTAAAGGTTATTGTAATAATACTCCATCTAATTTAAATTCATCTCATCGAATGGATTCCTCAACATAGCCATTGTTCAGTTTTTGACAAAGTTTGACAAGAATCTTTTCAGCAGGACAAAGCAAATGACTAGTTAACCACAAAAGCATAAACAGACAACTATCCAACCTTACATTCATTCACTATTTACTAGGGATGCACCAATTCCAGCTTTTTCTGTTCCGATACCAATACCAATGTTGATACTTTGGCTTTAAGTATCTGCCAATACCCGATATCAACCGATACTAGTGCGGAGACTGAAAAGAAAATCTGTTTCCTTTAAACACAAACAGCGTTATTATTTAAAGCAGGGGTCACCAACCTTTTTGAAACTGAGAGCTACTTCATGAGTACTGAGTCATACAAAGGACTCCCAGTTTGATACGCTCTTCTGAAATCACACATTTACTCAGGTTGCCTTTAGTTATACATTATTAATAATAATTAATGACCGTCATCTATGTGAAGACACAGATCACGTTAATAATTTCTCACAATAATTATCAACAGTGACAGCAAGGTGGGAAACAGATATCAATATTCAGCACTTGAACTTGATTAACCTCAGTAATTGTTGTTTTTTTAAGTACAGTGTTAGCAATTATCATCATAGCTTCTATACATCAGTATCCCGCTTATAAATGCACTATCTAGGATTTCTTGGCATAATCTTACAATATATTTAATAAACCAGGAAAAATACAAACAATCATGAGCTCCTTTAGCGTAGGAAGCTCGGGAGGTTCCTAACCTGCAGACACTGTACAGATCCACGTTTCTAAACACCATTGTACAAGTTCTACACTGCAGCAAATTCTTAATTAAATAAACTCAACTTTGCGCAAATAAACTCAGCTTTACAATATATAAAGCATAACTACTATAGAGCCACATCAGCCCGTTTGAAATTATAACGTTTTTAATGCAGTTTTACGCACAGTTGTTTAGTTTTTACACAAACGAAACTTAAAACCGTATGGCTCAATTGCATAAACTGCGCTGATCGCTCATCTAAATCGCTTATTTATTTATTTATTTATTTCGGTCACAGGTATATTTTGACATTAATTCACAGACAGTCATATTTAACATACACAAACCGAAAAGGTGTAGGATGAAGCTTAAGCTTATTATGCCTAACCTTTATTCCTTTGTCAGAGCTTGTCATCTTGACACCAGTTCATCTTCATAAATACAGGAAACCAACAAATCAGTAACAGTACAACAAAGAACTACAGCAAAAACTAAGTATCATATTTCATGTATCTGTCCAGAGTTAAACATTTAAACTTCTTTATAAAGTGAAAGAGACTGGTGCACAATTTTAGGTTTTCTGGTACCGTTGTTCCAGAGCTCCACCCCTTTAACAGATATACAACATTTTCAAAATGTTTGTTCTGATTTTCTTTTTGATAAACGTGGCCATACCTCTGATCTCATATTGGCTCTTTTGAATTTTCAAATGCTTATGTATACTGAACATATATTTAAGTCATTTTTAAAATCTATATAAATGCAAGGGATATAAAAAAGAAAAGCAACAGAATAAAAGTAAATTGTAGATGCAGCTCACTAATGAGTTGTGCTATTTTTAGAACCGGCTTGCGGGCGACACAAGTAGTCCTTGGGGGGGCGACCTGGTTGGTGACCCCTGATTTAAAGTAACTACAGAACAACTTTGAAAACAGTATTACGAGATGTTTTGGGCCAACAGTCTCCAGTATATGATCTTATAATGCAAATTTATACACCAAAATGTGATATCAAATGAACCGATAGCAACTGAACTAATATCCAATCCCTACTATTTAAAATTTAGCAGTAAAAGTCACCAACCAAACTTATTTTATGTTCAAGAAAGTAGATACTCCACATATCATCAGTTATATCTTCACTTCCTCCTGAATACTGCATGTTTTCCTTGTATTGCACAACCCTACAGTTCAAATATTTCTTTCAACTGGCGTGGACAGAAATGTAACCACTCATGCACCACTTTTAAGCACAGATTGAAGTGATCCTGGTATTTTAATTTTTTTTTCCCGCTCGGACAGGAGCGCTAAAAGCAAACACGGATTCTATGAAAACCCAGGTCAGGGATAGCGGGATAGGGATAAACAACGTAAAATGTTGATGGAGAAGAAACCCAAAAGCATGTCTCTTACCTGCAGTGTCTGTGTACTCCAGCTACGGTCTCGATGATGGAGCACTCGCCCTCGTTCAAACAGAAAGCCAGATCTTTGTCTTCTACGCAGGGTTTGAACACCTCAGAGCGGATACTGGGGAGAGTCGGAGCCACGGCTGTAACGAAAGAAAAACAGAGAAAGGTGCGATTAGTTGCTTTTATATGCAAGAAGGTGATGCAATACTTGGCAAGAGGTGTCTTCTGTATTACTGTGTATTTTCATGTAAAATATATATATATATAAAGCAAAACTGATCAATATTTGTAATCCCATGATCTACTACTGAACACACAAAGGCGCATATAAACAAGATCAAATTTGAACTTCACTTGTCTCAGTTAAGCAATATCGGCCTCAATTTCAATCTGTTTTTCATGAGTTTCAAGCTATGGCCACAATCCTCCAAGGTCATAGCAATTAAACAATTAAAATCTAACTATTATATCTTTTGAATGTGGTAAAGTCCTCACCGAGTACTCGCAAAGTCCTTCAAATCTGACAAAAAATGTTTGTCCAAAACTCATGAATTGGTAATGTTTTGAAACCCAGTCATTGTCGGTAAGGGTCAACTGGCATCCTAAATGACAATCTGTATGTAAAAAACATCTGTGTCTGAGCAGCCTTAGCTTGGTGGGAAACAAAAGAAAAGAAAGCAGATGGCTCATGACAAGCAAAACAAAAGTGCAAATAGGCACGGGGAGCAACCTACACACGCCTAGAAGAGAGGAAAGTTGTTTGTGCTTTGTGAACAGATCCAAACTATTTCCAATGGCTGTATACTCACAAGCCTTGATTACACGTATCTGAGCTTTGTCCAGTCACAGTGTGAAATGATCAAATCTCAAAGGTTACAAGTCTTTGTGTAATAGAATGTGTACTACGAACAACAAAATATGACGTCTGTTTAGGAGGGGCCATATTACACTGTTTTATCAAGTTATAATGTTGTTTCCTCACCAAAAATCTACGTTGAGTTGTGTTTTGTTACGTTCACACATGTTTAACAGGGAGTGTGTCTATGTTCCCTCAGCCCTATGTTACGTCATTTCTAAGGTCTTTTATTTTTCTTTCCAAAATTAGGCCCTATCCCACATTTCCTTTATCATTAATTTGCATCAGAGTTTATCCCCATCTCTCCCAATTCGATAGTCAATTACACCCAAACCTATTATCCAGCAGCAGTTGACTACACATGTAATGTAGAGGTCATGGTGCAAAGGATCCTAAGCTTGAAATTACTCTTAATCATCACTTTAAATGTGGTATAAAAATAAAAATGACTTGACTTAGAGTTTCATTTTGAGAAAAATCTTAGAAATAAAAGCACATAGGGCTGAGGGAACATAGGGCTGACCCTGTTGTTCTCTTAAAACAAACAACAACAAAAAAAAAACATTCTGTTCGACCTTGTGATGTCATGTGGTAATACAGAAAGTGCTGCACTGAGTTATAAATTCACTATTCAGTATTTAAATTCACTAAATCATTTGGATCATTTCAGCCCTAGAATTGCCAATCTACTGATCAAAAGATAAAAGAAAAGGATAAAACTACCTCTACATGACATCACAAGGTGGAACAGATGATTTTGAGCTTTGAGATGTAGACAGACTAATAATGCACGGCTACTCAAACATGTGTGAATGAAACAAAACACAATCTCCAGGTTTGTATTTGATGAGGTATCAGTGTTCTAACATGCCTTAAATCTCACAAGGGTCAATTTTGCGTAATACAGGGCCTTTAAAGACGTCAAAATCAAATGCAACAATACTGTACAATTGTATATAGTTTGGTGTGGTAGTCCAGATAATATAACTCTATGTAGCTGATGTCATCCTTCATCAGTAAACCCAACAAACTGTCCCAGGCAAATCCAGGGCTGAGTGATCTGTTGGTCCACACCCATTGCCATAGCTTTATTTCTCTGCTCGGCTCTGACCCTGTACCAGTACTGCATTGCAGGTTCTCCACTCTGTGAAATATGCACAGCTGTCAGGGCCTGGTCACAAGCACACAGAAATATTGTGCACTCACATGGCAGCGGCTAATGTATGCAGAGGCTCTATCAAAATACTGCCACATATACTAGTAATAGAGAGGTTCAGGGAGCACTGTACAAAACATGCGACTACACATTTTAATTACAGGTTTTAATTAAGTGGCACACATAAGGGGCAGATATCAAGCTCTGAGTGTATTGAATGTTGTGATTGAATTGATATGCATATATAAACTGAAAGAGAGCATCACTAAAAAGGAAAATGATTTTCTATGGTGAGATAGGCCCTGTCATGAATTGAATTATATAAACCGTTTTTATCACCTTTAATATTCTTAAATTCAGTTTTATTTATTTGTTCTTTTAAAGGTGTAACTTTTCTCACCTGCTTCTCTCCATGGAGATACTGCCTGGAATGTTCCACAGTATGGCATTACACTTATAGATCCTTACGAAAACAGCAGGTGACACCACAGGGCAAAGTTGCATTCTTACTGTGAGTGCGCTCCCCTCTCCACAGATCTGACATGTACGTTTTTAGGTCAGTAAATACCCATGTTACTGACGTACATTTAATGCTATACACAATAACACAATAACATTTCCATGGAGACAAGCAGGTGGAGGACGCTCTACAAGAAAAGTTGAGCGGAGTACCTTTAAAGTAGTCTTTTTCATGGCAGATGCCGATATCAATGGTTAGAATCCAGGGGAACCGATGAGTGATGACCTCTGCTGATATTTTTAGGTTGATATATAAGGCCAATTTTGATCATTTTCCCCAAATGATCTAAATAGAATTAAGTACGAACTCATCCGCAACCTTGTTTTACTATGTAGAATGTAACTGATTCTTATCAATAGATATTTCTGAGAATCCTTGAGGAAGGTTCCTGGGAAACAAAAATACTACTCTAGTTTTGAGGGTCTTTTTATACTGGATATTTTGTACACCATAGGCATTTTATTAACTGATAGAGCTTAGAAGTATGGCGAATACCTCAAGTCTGTTTCCCATTAATATAAGAGACTATGATGGTCGCTTATAGTTCTACCCCAGAGTCTCTGATCTGTTATTATATTGTCATATAAGAAGTACTACAGCACGAACTACACTGTTCAAAAAAACTGCTTAATTGTGAAATCCACACTATAAGTGACATTTTACCTACACAAATTGTATGAAAGAAAATGATTAATTTAGAAAATATTTGTGCAACCCGTGCAACAAAATCAATGGGAAACACCGTCCAGCCTTAGTCAATCATGAAAGCTGGTGATCGAGAACAAAAGTCATTTGTAACGGATGAAAACAAAGTCTGCTAATGCTACACTTACTACGCTAATTAACAAAGGCAATTAAGAGCTTTGAGCTGATCTGAGCAAGTTAAGTGAAGATGTCTGGGCTAAAAATAAGTGATCTTCATGAAGGTAAACAGGGTAACATATGTAAAGCAGGGAGGTGTTTTGAAACTGAAAATCTCAAAACAACTTTATGTCCGTGTGTGCATTTTAGTGTACCAAAGAGCTCCTCTGTTCACTTGGGGCTTGTCTCTGCAGCACGCTCTTAACTCATGTTCTAAAAAATATTAAGATCTCTTCTAATTCATCTGCCCCCGGAGTGAGGAGAATATGAAAGTAGGACTTGAACTGGAGATGACACCAGGAAAAGACCAGGGATACGTCGTCTTGTATCAACTCATCTAATTCCCAAAGTGTTATGCACGAAGGTTGGCTGTTCCGAGATGCAATTTTAATAATAGAAAATAGAACACAAAGTCCCCCTGTGGTTAAGTGAGCCCCCGGTAATAATTGTCAAGTGTTTTAAGTGTCTGTACGAGCCGCAAGAAACAACATGTTGAGCTGAGCGCTGACAATTACAATTTGATTTGCTTCTATCAGCCACAACTGTGCTTCCACTTAAGATTTCCAAAAACTAGAGGGACTAGATCAAGAGGAAAGGCCATGCTACCTTGAGAATGACCACTCACGTCTAATCTCAGGAGCTAAGCAGGGTTCGGTACGGCTTGTACTTGGATGGGAGGCCGCTGGGAATACTAAGTGCCGTACTGGGGCGGTGTACTGTTGTTGTATTCTTAGGCAAGACACTTTATGCTGTGTTATTAGGTTCTTTTTTCAGATTATCGGAAGACCAAACTGACCTCATTGGACTCGTTTTGGTGACGGTCGGAGGGGCTGATGGCGCAGATTGGCAGGTTTATTCAGTCTACTTCAGGGCAGCTGTGGCTACAATTATAGATGGGTGTAGAGTAAAAATACACTGAAATATAAATATAGAGTATATATAAAGTAATTAAATATAAACTTTTCTGATGGAGGGTCTGCTACTTACTTGTGTCACGGAGATGTCACTGCTTTGTCTGGAATGTTCCACAGGATAGCAACTAATATAGCCTTCATTTTGTTAATTACAAGTGTTTTTATTGCCACAAAAATCCTTCAAAAACATTCTTACTGTGAGCAGGGTCGCCTCTCCATAGATGTGACCTGTAGTTTAGTCTAATGGTGTTGCCCGCTTGTTTCTATGGAGATTAGATGAGTTTAATGGCACACTGTGGAACATATCAGGCAAGGGAATCATATTTCCATGGCGACGAGCAGGTGGTGGAAATAAATAAACCAGGACAAATAAATAGGATTATAATGCAGAACAAAACCGCATTTTGAAATAAACAAATAGAGACAAATCTGCAACAGACCCAGGGACCACAAGGAGCTTATGGCGCACTATAGGATAGGATTGCAGTTTGAAAATCATTGCACTACTCTGATATACTTCTACTGCACCCATACTATACACAAATATTAGTGCTTTTGCTAGTGGCATCATTTTACTGTTACTTTCAAAAGCATAAGTGGAGCTCCTGTTAACATTTCCTATTGTAGAAATAAATTCATTTATTTATCTGTCAGGACCAATACACGAACCGACAGCACAAAAGAGAGCAGAGGTATTCAAAAATAACTCATTTCCTGCAGTGTCTAGACAGATTGATGATAGGACAGAATCTACTTTTACAGCCACAGTGACAGTGTTAAAGGCTCATGTAGTATTATGGCCAGATAATAGTACTGTATCTTCGGTGTAGGGG